GGACGTGCGGCACACTTGAAGTGCAACCTAACAGAAATCATATTCGAATTGTTACCACATTATTAAATTTTTATTGACAGAGTGACACAAGATAAGCAATATGCAAGATTATACTTCTCAACATCACAGTTTATTTATATTATATATACAGGTAACATTGATATCACTGCAGAAATTGAAGACAGTGTGTGCATCTATATTTGTCGCTGATCATCGGTGGTCAGTTGACGAAACGATCTTCGTTTTGCAATGTCCTTGCACCATTCACTGACAATGAACGGCAAACCACAAACCACAAACAACAAAGAAACAAAAAAAAAGCAAACGGTAATAATAAGAACCATCAGTTATCTTTACAAACTAATGCAAAAACAAAAATAAAAACAACACCAACATAACCAAAAACCCGCCAAAAAGCCATAACAAAACGATCATTACAAATTCCTGGCAGCTTGTGTTCCACTTTCAGAAGAACCATCAGCCTTTACCGCTGATGTTGCTAGGCAATCGTCAACAACGGCAGCATTATTAACGTGCAATGCACGCAACGCTACCGAAGTCGGAATTAACAAAAGTCAAAAAAGGGACCCCAATTAAATGTAAGATCGTGTAATTGGCAAATTAATTTTTAATCAATTAAAAATTGAAAAACAAAAAATTTTAACCTCACTGGGCCTAAGAAACGGGTTTAGGAGTTCATAAATTGTTTTAATTTTTATTTATATGCCATAAAACGAAAGAACTTCATTTACAATTTTGTTATTCCTGCATTTAATAATAATTATAATTATAATAGTATAAAAACTAAATTTTATGCTACATAAAATAAAATATATGTCGCCATGTATTTATATAAGATCTTTACTCACACAGGATACCGTAATGTTGTGAGCATAAAAACATCCTTTTTCATTTTAATTATTGATTGCTGTACTGACGATTTGTTTTATTGTTGCTTTATGGACTATTTCTCTCCTTTTCGTAGAGGAGTACATTTTATCTGCTAGTTAAGTTTTTGAAATATACAATTTTAATTTTATACAATTTCAATGGGCATTCTGAAATTTGAATTAGATGCGTACGTATTGCATTATTTACCTTTTTACTCTTATCTATTTTTGTAAGTTGTTAGAGACATTGCAGGATTTGATAGTAAAAGGCCTTATACTATGTTTTAATATCTAAAAACAATAATAAATTATTACATTATTTTTCTGTATTTCATTACGTCGACTCGAAGCATAGGGCTGAACTAATATTTAACAAATCTTTTATTGTTTTTAAGTGTGAAATTTAAATACCGGAATCCATACATTTATATTTTGATTCTAATTATGGTTGCAGTGGCTTGCTGAATCAACCTTTATTTAAAAAACAATAAATTTTAAATAGGAAATTCAAATAATTTTTCAAAAATGTATCTATCTTCTCTAGTATAAGAAGTGTAACAATATATAATTATATAAACTGTGTAAGTTCGACCAGATTTAGAACTTAATTTATCAGTGTATCTATAATAGATATAAAAAGAGTTCATTAGTCAATCTCCTAGTATAACTTCTAAAATCTGTTCACATGCAATTCCAATAAATAAAAATCACTGTTTATGCGATAACACCAGGCTTATGATGTAATTGGCAATAATTTATCGCCACAATAGCTTCGCTATAACTTAACGCATGTTCGTTACATGCGTCTTTTACATCTTTTACAAAAATGGGCCCAATTCTATTTTAATGCCGCCACTGGTAATTAACAATTTATATTTATGTGTTTCCTATAAAACAAGTAATATAAAACGGAGTGAGCTGTTGACGGAACGGTGGTAGGAAACTTACCTACGCCATTGACTATTATTAAAATTATTAATTGGCAATCTCTTTTCACTTACACATCGTTTTCGTCTCATCTTATGACCGACATGAATGCCAATCCGCATTATGTTCTCTTTTTAATTAACAAGATTTGCTTTTTATACCACAATTTGTCACAATGGCACACGTTTTTTTAATAGAAGCTTCGCGTAATGTTGTCCCTCCCCGTTTCAGCGCGACTCAAAAAATTATATTATTTTTCTGTTTTTTTTTCGCTTTTGCTTTGGTTTCTGTTATTGTTTGCTGTGCATTTTTTAATAATTTAATAGAAATTAATTATAACATTTGAGATTAAAATATAGAATTTGTAGATTATTACAAGAAGTAACAGCTATTTGATAATAAAAGTTTAAATAATTTGTCTTTCTTAACAATATGTCCAGCTATTTTCTACTTGCTTACAATATGTTTTACGGCACATAGATACTTTTAAGTGTCTAAGTTTATATGTTCGTATACTTTTTACTTGAGCTTAACTTGATATTTGTCAATTGCTGAAGGTTCAAAGCACTTGAACTTGTTTCAATTGTAAATATGTCATGCAAATCATAATAAATTTGAGTAATGAGTCTGAATGGTATGGGAATGTTGCTTTATAGTTGAAAATTCGATCGTATTTAGTTTATATAAGAAATAAATTTAATGGCATAACATAATGTTATGTTTGAAATGTATTTCGATAAAATTGAAACTGTGCATTGAGTAAAATATTTATGAGTATAATATTTCGAGTAAAAAATCAGACTTTACATGTTTTGTATGTGAATATAATTAGAAATCGTAGCCTTCAGGCATCATATTTCGCTAATATTTAATTGCGAAATACGAGTACCATGTTTTCAATAATGCATTTACATGTAATTAATTAAGAAAAAAATTGTATTGCATATACGAATTAATTAAAACAAACATAAACGAAATAAAAAAAAAAACGTAATGAAAATCTGCAATTATGCAAAGTAAGAAAACAACACACGAAGCTGCAATCGCCGCTGTAACACCGACAATGGAAGAAACCGCACACACCGCGCACTGTACTTCAATTACAGTGGTAATGCAACGCATTAAATTAAGTTGCAAACAACAAAATATGGAAATTCGTACATGGCAACTCATTAGAATTAATTGACTTTCTATGATCGAGAAAACAATGTGGTAACGAAACAGGCAAGAAAAAAAAAAGCAACAACAACTGCTGCTATTTTACTACTGCGCGCTTTTCACAGCATACATATACACCCATATTGTTTTTTTTTAACATTTCGTGTTGAGTGGTTTGTGGCTTCTGTTGTCTACTTTTGATTATTACTGCTTTGTAGTTTTTGTTGTTTTCTTACTTTTCACGTTAAAAACATTTATTAGTAAGTTAATTTTAATTAAATCTTTGTTGGCTTTATGTTACTTATTTGTTAATGTTTTATAATATAATAAAAATACAATATTGCGTCGAATGCACCACAAAATCAAATTACAGGCCAGCAGTAGCAAAATGGTGGCAGAATTTATTTTATAATATAATGAATGAGCTATAAGATAAACTTGCTTCAAAATAAAATGACAGAAAATAATTTCCCTGTTTTTACTATATATAATAAATGCACTTCAAAAGATAGGAATTGTTTTTAAAATAGATCGTAATAAACATTTTTTGTACTAAACTTGATTTTTTTAATCAAGTTTTGAAATTTTTTTTTATAGAATCTGTCATAACCCGATAAGAAGACTGGTTTCATAAAAATTTTAGGCGCAGTGATATCTATGTGTAAATAATAGTAGGTGGATAGTGTAAACTTCATCTACTTACTATCAATTTTTGAACGAGCTTGACAGGCTGTATTGAAGCTGTACTGAACTTGAACAAATCGACGGTCTGCTAGATAACCGATATGACTGTAGAGTTCTACATTGCATAGACATATAAAAACTTTATAATGAATTTGTAAGGTATGTCAGCCATTGTAACACGTGATAAAACTTGATGTTTCCAATATAAAATGAAAGTAAAGTTATAATACTCTATAAAATTTTGCTAAAGATCTAAAATAGAAAAAGTTATATTATCAGAAGAACGAATCAATATAATTTTAATAGTTTTCTTCGATTCAAAGTGAATTGTTCACAGTGAAATTATCGGAAAAGTTGGATAGTGAACGCAAACAATTCTGGTCAATAAGTATAAAAACTAATTTGAAAAACACGTTGGAGTTTTATATTGATTTAAGAATAAAAATAAAATAAGTAAAAAAAATTATTTGAAACCTAGCCCTCGAATTTGGAAGGTACTTACATTCTAGTTTCTTATGATGGCTGAAAGAAATATCATCTGTAACAATTAATAACTACTGTAATAATCTATTTTATTTAGAGTAAGTTCATATTCCAATTAATAAATC